AGGGCTACAAGTACCAGTTGCCCCGAGTCTGGGAGTCGGACCGTGCCCAGCAGGCATCCCATCCTCGAGAGCTGACGGGACAAAAGCCCAATCCCAGGAGGAAAACCAGAGGGTGGCTGCCATTTCAGAATCAGGGCCAGGCCGTCCAGGAAACAGCAGCAAGTGCCATGCTCAGCCTAGCACCGAGTGCCTATCATCTGACACCTAGCCTCTGAAGTGCAGGCCGGCACCAGCACCCGGCACAGAGCAAGCAAGATGACACCTGCTCCTTTACTTATGCACGGGATCTTCTGCTCCCACACAGGGTACAGCCAGGGCTGAACCTAGGCCTGGGTGCCAAGAGACCGGGGAGTGACCCTGGACCCACCCACAAGCTCCCCTGAGGCTGCATTTGTAGCCTTCCACTCAGCACCATCAACTATACACATTGAGGTGCTTGCTAACTGCTAGGTTGGCACTTCAAACCCAAGGGCCTCTCAGGACAGGCAGACAGCCCCTGAAGCCCTGAGGAGTAGTTCCACTCTTCCTCTAGGCTTGGTATGAGTTGGAATCTGCTCAGGGCAAGGGGCTTGGTTTTTGTTTGTTTGTTTAAGAGGTTTAGAATAAAAACAAAAACACCCACTTAAACTCACTGTCCAGCTCATAGTGAGCCTAAAGAAGAAGATAAACATGCCCTGGTGCTTCCACGACCAACTCTTTACAGGTATAGAAAGCCCCATGTACCAACCAAGCTCAAGCAGCTGGTGGTCTCAAACTGCTGACCCTGAGGTTAGCAACCCAACTTATAACCCACTCTGCCGCCGGGGTAGTAGTGGTGTCTGGAATAGAAGTATCTAAGTCATGGCATTGGGAAAAGAAACAATAAACACAAATTGGTCCAAGAGTAAAAATTGAATGGGGTGTGTTGGGGGGGCATTGTGGAGACGTGGATAGTGGCAGGCTGTGAAGGCTTCCTGACAGCGTGGGCAGTTCAGGTAGCAGGTTCCTACTCTGGGGGTTGGAGCCAGGCACGTGGCATAGTGGCAGACTCAGACCAGGGCCCCTCAGTGATTACTAGTTATCCAAATTACCCACCATGAAATCTGAGCTTTGCTCACCAGTTCCCTGGCAAGGGCCATTTTATAGTGAGAGGTTGGTGACTCATTGCTAATTACCCCTGGAGGACAGCATGATCCAAGCTTCTGGGAACAGGAACCACTTCCCAGAGGGGCCTTTCCGGACCCTCAGTCCACTGCCTGCCGGCTGGTAATTCCTGTGGGCAGAGAGTGTGCCTACCTTGATCTGCCCAAAGCCAATGGTGACAGTAGCCGCAGAGGTGAAGCCCTTGATGACCGGGCAGGAGATGAAGTCCAGCAGGAACCCTGGCCAGCCAGGAGGGAACACGGAGCTGGTCACTTGCTCCTCCCAGCCCAGGGCAGATGAGGGGCTGGGCGGGACTGGGGGACAGAGGCTGAAGCTAAGGACTTTTGCGGGGCTCATGCTACTTGGGCTGATTCTGAAGAGTGGGGAAAGGAGACTCCAGTCGAGGCTCAGGTACACCTCTCAGTGCCCCAGCCCCCGAGGGCATCCCTGCCCCACAGACAGGGGCAGGGTGTACAGGGAGCAGAGAGGTCAAGGACACTCCCAGACTCAGGCACCTCGGTGGGCCACACAGACACCTGCCAAGGGCAGCCTTACCTAGACGCAGGAAGCCCATGGCCAGCTGGATGCAGCCAGACAGGAAGGCCAGGAGCACGGCGTAGGCGGGCTCGTGGAAGGTGTAGAAGGAGACCAGGAGGGACATGATGGCCGTGGGGCCCAGGGTGACGTCGCGGGAGGTACCAAGGAAGAAATACACGAAGCACCCCATGAAGGCGGAATAGAGGCCATACTGTGTGACAAGACAGAAATTAGGAGCTTGGGGTGGGGGCATACCCCACCCCGCCGAGTACGTCCTGTGGTGGGGCCCAGGGTCCCTGTGGGTGATGCATCCAACCTGTTACCTTCCACCTGGTGACCACCTGAAGTGATAAAGGGCCCATCTGCTAGATCTTGGGGTGCCTGTGACCAGAGTGGATGGAGTGGGGCTTCCCGCGGGGCTATGTGACCAGAGTGGACAGTGGTGATGACCCTGGGACTATGTGACCAGAGTGGACAGTGGTGATGACCCTGGGACTATGTGACCAGAGTGGACAGTGGTGGTGACCCTGGGACCATGTGACCAGAGTGGACAGTAGTGGTGACCCCAAGACTGTGTATTCTGCAGGCTCCACTGGACTCAGCCCAGCTTGGGCTGTCGTGTGGGAATCAGTGGGAAGGCCATGTGGGCCTGCAGCTGCTCAAGGGCAGCTTATCTGAATACAGTGGACCTGTGGGGCTGGGCAGCCGGTGGGGCACCTCTCTGGACGTGAGTTGTGGCAGGGGGGAGGGAGGCCAGGCTGTAGGGTGAGGACCCAGAGTCTCACCTGGGGCGGGAGACCAGCCACCTCAGCATAGGCCAGCGCTTGAGGAATGACCGTGAGCCCAACTGAGAGGCCGGCGATGAAGTCCATCTTCAGCCACTGGCCGGAGTAGTCGGGGAGCCAGGCCAGGATGGGCAGCCGCCTCTGCAGGGCCGAGGCCGAGCAGCAGCCCCCCGGCCCCGCCATGCCAGAGCGGGGTAACCAGGGCTTGCCCAGAGCCTGCACAGAGGAGGGCATACCTGGGGGCAGAGATGGAGACACCAGCTGCTGGGTCAGGGGCTAGGTTGGGTGCACTAGGGCTACGCTGGGGCTTCCCTCCCCGCAGGGGTCCCAACCAAGGACTCATTCCCCAGGGGGCCATGCTGGCCTGAGAGAGGAGTTGTTCAGCTCTTGGAAGCACAGGGTGCTCAGGGATCTTTTCAAAGGTGAGGGTTGGGGTCGGCCCTATCCCATCACCTCAGCCCTCTGGCCCAAACCCTAGGGTCCCTCAATTGAATCAGTGATTGATTTCTTAACAGGAAGCCTAAAGGCTCATTACACGGGGCACGTTTCCTCCTGGGAGTATTTATTTCCCTCTTTATAACCCCCCTAGGAGGTGGGTTTTTGTTTTTTTAATATAAACATTCTACTGTGGTGAAGAACAGGCACATCAAGGCGTCGCCATAGCAACCACGTCTCCTTTACAACCTGCCTTTTCCAAATCGCACCAGCCCCACTAGGGACACCCAGATGCCTCTCCAGGGATTCCGGGTTTGGGGGTGGGGGGCTGGGGACCCCAGGTTTTGCAAATGCGTACATCGCGGCTCCACCCACTATGGCGAGCTGTGGCGCAGGGAGGAGGGGGAGGGGGGTCTCAGCCGAGGCCTCTCTAACCAGCCCCCACCTGTAGCCTGCCCATCCCTGAGGACCCTGGAGATTCTAGTAGGTTCTGGAGAACAGAGCCGCTCAGCTCATTCCTGCGCAGCAGCCTAGTCCTCGTGGGTCCTGGCGCCCCCTCCCCACCACGCACAAAGGCGCCCAGAGCCCCTTCCCCATTGCCCCCCAAGGGCCGCTCTGGACCGAACGCACCCCCGATAATGCCGTGTCCGCTGTCTAAAGTGGGGGCCCCTAGGCAGCTGAGGCCCCCAGACCCTGGGCAAGGCGAGGGCAGTGCGGAGCCGAGTAGGAACGCTGTGGGGGCGCCGCGGGAGGCGCCCCGGGACCTTGCGCCCCAGAGCCCCGTGTCGGCCGCTCCTGGACCCCCGGATCCCGGCAGCCCACGGCCGGGTCCCTCCTCGCCGCTGCCCACACACTCACCTGTCGCCGCAGCTCGGGGTCTCCCGACGCTGCCGCAACCGGGTCCGCAGGAT